AGCAAGCTGTAATATTTTATATTCCCATTAGTAATGAATGAGATTCCTGTTGCTCCACATCCTCCCCAGTATTTGGTGTTACTAGTGTTCCAGATTTTGAGCATTTTAATAGATGTGTAGTGGTATCTTATTTTAATTCAGTTTACGAGGGGATATGATGATATATGATGTGGAGTATATTTTCATATGCTCATTTTTTGCCATTATGTATTTTTTTTGGTGAGGTATCTAGTAAGGATTTTGACCTATTTTTAAAATCTGGTTTATTTTTTTATTGCTGAGTTTTTAGAGTTCTTTGTATATTTTGGATAACAATTCTTTAGCAGATGTGTGTTTTGCAAATATTTTGTCCCAGTTGGTGGCTTGTCTTCTCATTGTCTTGACATACAATGGAATTCTAAAACAGATTTTACAAGGAAGAAGGTAGATCTGCATGTATTGATGTGGAAATATATCTAAGATAGGTGATTAAGTAGGAAAAAAGTACAGAATCATGTGCAAATACAATTCTCTACTGTACACAAGATAAATAATATGATTTTTTTTTCTCCCAGAGACAAGAAGAGAATAGTGAATGGGGACTTATTTTATTAATTTGATCCTTTTTATACTTCCCCAAATTTTCTAAATTTTTTAAATTTTATTTTATTTTTTAAGATTTTATATATTTATTTTTTTTAGAGGGGAAGGGAGGGAGAGAAGGAGAGAAACATCAATATGTTGTTGCCTCTTGAGTGCCCCTTACTGGGGACCTGGCCCACAACCCAGGCATGTGCCCTGATTGGGAATCAAAAGAGTGACCCTTTGGTTTTCAGGCTGGTGCTCAATCTACTGAGCCACACAAGCCATGGCTCTGTTTTTTTTAGAAGATAGAATAGATTTTAGGCAATTTTCCCACTTGTCTGCTTTATATATTTTTCTAAATAAAAAAACACTATATTTTATTCATTTATTTATTTATTTTTGGAGACAAATACCAAGTTTTATTTATTTTCAATAATGAAAGCAACACAACAAAGAAGAATTAATCCACTAATTTTTAAATCTATCACAGCCTTAGTACAAAACTATACTTATTAAATAAAAAAAACATTCCTAGTAACCAAGTAAGACTATTTTTGAGACTCTCTTGGGTATTGCCTGTACTTTACACAAGACTGGGTGGTAGGAAAATAAACACGTGTAGATATTGACTGACAAGTACTGGAAGAAAAGAAGAGCCAAGGAGTAGGGTCCCCAAATATTAAGTTAGAAAAGGGAACATGGGTTTTCAAAGAAGTCTAGAAATCAGAGCTCACTGGGGGATGCAAGGGTTTGATATAGTCCATGCTCAAGGTATTGCAAAGAAATCTTTCCACATTTCTAGATTATTGATTTGGAATCCATCACAATCTAGAGGAGCTGCTGCCAAAGGATAGGAGGCTCTTCATTCACACTGCCTGGAAACACCTGTCTCTTAATTTTCCTCCTTTGACTTGGTCACTAGCTCCTATCACCAATATAACAGGGTTTCCACCCCACCCCCCACCACCCCAAAAACTTACTACTGTGTAGACCAGCGATTTTCAACCGGTGTGCCGCAAGACTTTTTAAAACATGCAATACCTGACTGTTTAGTTCAGGGCACTGACCTCTTTTGCCTTAAATTGTCAAATTAAAAAATGACAAAAGCCAACACAACAAAGCAGTCTGGTATGAATGAATCAAAAGTATACCTGTATTTTCTGTCACATCAGCAAAAACTATATTTTGGGGTGTGCCACAGATTTTGTAATAAGTTTATGTGAGATGGAAAATCACTGATATATCTCTGATTATCTTTTCCTTTAATAAGAACACTGATACTGCCAGGGACAGTTGTGAACATACCCAATACCTTTAATTTTTATCCTCCTACACACTGCTTGGCTACAAAAATCTAGGACTCACAGATCATTGGTCCAAAGACAGGTTTTCAATAAAAGAATCTCTAAGTTTCAATGGTCACCATTTTTTTCCTACCTTATCTGCCACACCTTTTTATCTGCCACATCTTTTTCTTTCTCATCATCTTCTCGATTATGTCTTTTGGAAAGCAGTTATATGAGCTGCATTCTGAGCATCAGATTTTTTGATCAATGAATCTCAAGTATCCTCATCATCTTTTTGGAAATCTAAGTTGTCCTGTTGGGACCAAATGGGATCCCATCAGCCCTCTGAGTAGGCTCTGAAAAGGAAGCAGTAGCCTTCAGCTCACCACTATATTTTTTAAAAGGTTTTATTTATTTATTTTTGGAGAGAGGGAAAGGGAGGGAGAGAAACAGCAATGTGATTGATTTTTCGGATGGGTTGCCTCTCACACACCATGGACTGGAGACTTGGCCTGCAACTCAGGTATGTGCCCTTACTGAGAATTGAACCAGTGACCTTTCCAGTTTGCAGGCTGGTATTCTATCCACTGAGTCACACCAGCCAGGGCTTACCACTAATTTTAGAAAAGGCCTGTGTAACTGTTGACAGACCAAAGTTAAACTTTTTCATTAACTGCAGGATGATCTTAATGGCAGCTCCCACTGTTGGTGGACAAACTTTTTCATCTTCTTCCTCATCAGGCTGCATCTATGAGTCTTCCTTAGGTGTGGGTGGATCATCATCACACATTATTAAGTATATTTCAAAATCAGGCCTCTCCTGCACCACAAGCTCCTCAAACCCTCTGGTGGCTTCTACAAACATCTTTTGGACTGCTTCTTCATTCTCCTTGATCTCTACCTTTACAAATTCTTCTCCAGGCAAGTCTGGAGTTGTCTTACTCTATAGTTCCTCGCTAGCAGCAGCCTCTGGTCTTCCTCTGTGTTCTGCTGGAGTTTCTGGGAGGATGACTCAATAGGTACTTATGTTCCTAGCCCTGCAGTGCGTGAAGTAGCAGTCCTTCCAGGACTGCCAGGAATGCTGAGGGAGCTGATTGGGCTGAAGTTGCCCCAGGCATATTAAAATAAGTTGAACCAAGAATTCTGGGAGGGCAGAATTTTTTTTATTTTCAAAGGTGTCAAGAGTGGCATCTAAAACCCACCTGCCTAATGGCTTTGTTTCTGTTAATCAGACATGACTCCAGATATTGAATTTAATTAGAGCATTTTTTAATAAATATATATTTGGTGGGCTAGCTAAAGCTCAACTTTTTTCCTTTTATCTGGTATATAAGTATATAATTATGAAATTTTGTGTTCTGGCAGGGGTCAACAAATTTTTTTCTCTATGGTGATAAAAGCTAAATATTTTTCAGTTTGTGGGCCATTTGGTCTTGGTCAAAACTATTCAACTCTGCCTTTTAGCATAAAAGCGGCACAGACAATATGTTAATAAGTAATTGTGCCTGTGTGCCAATAAAACCTTATTTACAAAGAAGGTAGAAGATAGATTTGACCTATAAACCATAGTTTGAGATTCCTTGCCTAAGACATTAAGTGTCTAGGAAATCTAGAATTCTTTCAATTCATGAGATAACACTGAAGATCAAAACTGCCAAAAACTCACAAAGACAATACAATATAAAAAGTGACACAGTAAAAAAAGTTCAATCTATTTTTTCTGGTATGATGTTGATCCAACCCTCCTTTATATATGGGTATAGGTGGTTATAGTATTATATTGCCATGATAATTTTTAATGTATATACACTTTCTTAAAAACTATTTTCTGGCCCTGACTGATGTGGCTCAGTTGGTTGGGACTCATCCTGCAAAGCAAAATCTTGCTGGTTCAATTCCCAGTCAGGGCACATGACTGGGTTGTGGGTTCAGTTCCCAGTTGGAGCATGTTTGAGAGGCAATAGATCAATGTTTCTTTCTCACATCGATGTTTCTATTCCTCTTTTTCTCTCTCCCTAAAAATCTAAAAATAAATAAATAAATAACTGTTTTCTGAGTAAAACTTGACTTGTGATATTAATTAATTCCTATAATATTAGAGTTGCTATGAAGGCAATAACAATCTTTCTAATAATCTTTCAGACTTCTAGTCACTTTCTTATTTAATATTATGTCCATGTTCCTGGGAGCATGACTGAGGTGGAAATGGTGATGAGTAAAACATTTAGTTTTCAGTTTTAGTTTCTCTATCTTTACAACAGGAAAAATGGAACCTGTTATATTTACTAAAGACAATGACAGTATTATCTTAACGGTTGGTATAAATCTGTGCCCTTTGTTCATTAGCTGTTGTGAGAAAATTACTTTAGAAGGAACAGGAAAAAAACCTACATTTGTCTGTCATGATTTGATGCTTTATTTTCTTTTCTCCTCTTGAATAACAGATACAGACAGCTGACCATCCTCCATATACTTTCTCCTCTGCTATCAATGATAAGGGTTAATAAGGGAGAGGGGAACTCCAGGGGAATTAAATTGCTATAAACAGGATGGCTGGGCCATAGTGCATCCTGTCTGGAGAACTGCTCATATAATTCTCAGGCCAGTCATTGAGATCAAAGATTGTATCTATTTATATGTAAGGATATGAGGTTAGAAAAGAAGAAATAACAATACAATACCAGAAAGAGAAAAAAATATATATGAGATACAGCAGATTAGTGCCCTGTTCAGATGGCATTAGATAGCCTGGTACCAACTCTATGTACCCACCTTCCTGACTCTAAACAATGTAGCCAATGCCTATTCAATGTGGGAGTCCAAAAAATCAGTTCCTTTGTCTTAAGGTAAGACAAACTGATGTGTACTTTACACTCTACCAAGATCTGGCTAAGACTGGGACTTTGACTGAAATTGTACTCTTATTTGGCTTCTTCCTTTTTCTTACCTGCTTTACTTATTCTATCTGGTTTCTCTGTAATAAAACACTTCAGTAAAACATTTACATTCAAATCCGTAGTTTAAATTCTGTTTCTTAGAGAACCTGATCTGAGACAATAGGCCATCATAGCTCCTTGGCAAATGGAATAGATAATGTTATACTCATTTAACACCAACATGCACATAATTTATAAAGAACTGTCCACCAACCTGTCAACAAATGCATGGTGAAGAAGGAAAATGGGGTCGTTGGCAGATCCTTGTACCTGAGACATTGTTCCATTCATATACACGTGCAAGGCATTGTGCATAGTGCTTCGGGAGGCATCTGCTATCCCAGTAAGTGGACTAGCGAATCCTGTTAGTGAAAAGAATATTGAAAAAAAATTAGTTTACTTTAATGATTGAAAATCTAAGTGATTATTTCATTTGGTTTACAATAACAAGCACAAGCCTAATTCAAAGTCATAGAATGAATAATAAAATTCATTCTGTATTGGAATTTTTTACATTCTGAATATCCAGTGAATATTTAACAAATCTTTCTGGAATTGAGTGGTATTAATCAGGGTACTGTGAACTGATTAATCAGATAAGTTAGGTTGAGCCAACTTGTACTCCCTTCTGTTGCTCCTGCCTATTATTCCTCCTTTAGATACTGAAAAGTAGTTAGACCTTTTTTTATAATTATCAGCATAGTTATTCTCACTTCAGTCTGTAACATTTAGAACAGACCTTTCTAGCCCGATATGTGTCATTTTGCTTTCCAGTTCTGGTGGTTACCTTTAATTTTGGTTTCTGGCTCCAGAGAAAGTATAATATGCCTGACCTTCCACATCGCTGTGCACTATCAACAGTCTGGGGTCTGGGCCGGGGATGGGGGAGCAGGCATCAGGTGAGAGTGTGTTTGATTTTGCAAAACATTCGTTTCAGAGTTCATCAGAACTCCATTAATTTGTTCTATTCATTGCATCAGGACTAATTGTGGGAATAATAGTTATAATAAGAGCTATTGTTTTCTGAATGTTAATTGGACTAAATGCTTTTTTTGTGATATATGTTCTCTAATCTACAGCAACTCTGTCAATTAGGAATTATTATTCCCATTGTAAATAAGAGGAAACAGAGGCTCAGAGAAGTTCTGAGTTTCCCAAGGCTACAGAAGTAGTGGTAGAGTTGGGATTTTAACTAATTTTAGTTAAACTTCAAGATATGAGCTCTTGATATTTTGTGTTCTCTCTCACACACTCCCTGGGAAGAGGTAGAATAAGACATCATTTAAGTACATTTAGTCAAAACAAAATATAAGCAGAACTCAAGGCTGAGAACAAGACAAAGATGTCAGAGTAATAGAGTTAAATTCTAAGCTGGAACCAAGTTAGGGAACTATGACCAAGGCCATATTATTGAATTTCAGCATTTAGAACTGTCAATCAAGAAGAAACTGGTAAGATGATGATGACAATGATAACAATGATGATGATGATGTAGAATAGACACCATTAAAGCACTACAATTTGGACAGGGGAGGTCTAGCTTTATTTTGTGCAATTAGGATTTTGTAATCCACCTCTTCATTTCTAAAGGTGCAGTTCTTGACTTTTGCATTTGATGCTTTGTGGATCGGAGTAGCTCTGACCCCTCAGCCAGGGATTCATTCCCTTCTTTTAACTTTTTTAATTCATTCTAAGAGACCATATTAAGCCCTGGTACCTCTGGAAACTTAGTCCAAGAACAATCACTTACCTCCCATCTGAACTCTCTTATCTATGTCAGCTTTTATCATGGACAATCACTATGTGCAGGAATTTTTCTGGCTTGACATAACTAATTTCATACAACCTAGAGAATGATGCTACAAAATAATTATCTTCATCATCTCCATTATATAGACTTGGGAAAAAGGGGCTTTGAGAGGTCAAGTAACTTGTCTAAGATTAAAAAACAAGTAAGAGGAGTTAAGGTTAGAACATCAACCTGTTTTTTTGTAGAGCCTAAGCTCTTAACTGCATGCTTTACTGCCTTTCCCATGTAGCAATGAATCACATACCATGCAGGGCAAAGTTCTGTAGAGCAATGGACTTCAAGCTTATTCTTGAGTAGCATCAAATGAGACATTTAAAGTAGATTCCAAAATGTTTTAATCATAATTAGGAATAGTTTCAGAGGACATAATTTCAGGGATGTTACAAATAGTATAAATTTAAAAACTAACAATTTAATATCACTTTTAGAAAATGTATCTTATTCACCATCATTTATGTAAAAAATACTTAAACATACTTTATTATACTCTAAAATTTTATGGGGTTTCCTTTTTTTACTTAATCTCTTCTTTTTATTCTATTTTCCCACAGAATTATGCCTAAATATTATGTTATACTTGAAACATTTTTTAAAAAGCTGTTATATCAGCCCATCTTACTTTTCTGCAACAACAGCTGGTATAAAAATTTAAACTTGTAAAAACTTTCATGTGACTGTTAACCTAATCTCCTGGATTAAATTATCATTAAATAATTTAGTTATAATTTATTTTTTAAATGTTTATATTTTTCAATTACCATCAACACACAATATTATATTAGTTCCAGGTGTAAAAAATAGTAATTAGACATTTATATAATTTAACCCAATTAATCTTGTACCTGCCTGACACTATACATAGTTATTATAATTTTATTGATTATATTTCCTAAGATGTACTTTACCTCCCCATACCTGTTTTTATAACTGAGGATTTGTACACCTAAAGTAATTATTAGACCCTGGCTGGGTAGCTCATTTGGTTAGAGCATCATACCTAAAAGCCCAGGTTGCAGATTTAATCCCCAGTGAAGGCACATACAAGACTCAACAACTGAATGCATAAATAAGTGGAACAATAAATCAATGGCTCTATCTCTCTGTCTGTGTTTCTCAAATAGATAAATAAATTATTTATTAATAAATAATTATTAAATATAAAAGTAATTCTTTATTAATAAATAATTATTAACTATAAAAAGTAAAGTTTTATTTAAAATTTATTTCTTAATTATATTGATGGAAGATTGTTAATTAAAAATTAATTCAGAAAAGGGGAAGAGTTTACAGGAACAAGTATAAAGGACACATGGACAAAAACTAGGGGGGTGGAAATGGGAGGGAGATCGGGAAGGCCGGGGGGTGGGGTTGGTGGGGATGGGAGTAAAAGACAGAAAATTGCACTTGAACAACAATTGAATAAAAAAAGAAAAGAAAGAAAGATAAATAAATAAATAAATAAAAATAAAAATTAATTCAGAGATTAAGAAATGAATATTATTTATTTCTAGAAAGAATAAAATTACACATAAAATCTATTCTAATTTTTTATACATATTTTTCAGTTTAACTGTTGTTGCATATCCCTGAAATTCCCTGAAATTCCTTTGAAATTCCCTGAAATTCCCCCCTGAAATTCCCCTGAAATTCCTTCTTCTCTTCCCTCTGAACACTATCAGACTGTTCTCTATTTCAGTGTCTTTGGTTATATTTTGCTTGTTTCTTTGTTTTGTTCTTTAGGTTCCTGTTAAAGGTGAGATCATATGGTATTTGTCTTTCACTGCCTGGCTTATTTCACTTAGCATAACGCTTTCCAGTTGCATCCATGTTGTTACAAAGGGTAGGAGCTCCTTCTTTCTTTCTGCTGCATAGAATTCCATTGTGTAAATGTACCAGAGTTTTTTGATCCATTCATTTACTGATGGGCATCTAGGTTGCTTCCAGCATCCAGCTATTGTAAATTGTGCTGCTATGAACATTGGGGTGCATAGGTTCTTTTGGATTGGTGTTCTATTCTAAATTTTTTAAAATAAATTGAGTTCTAAGAAAATTTTGTACTCATAAAAAACTAGGTTAGAATGAAAATATTTCCATATTAATTTCACTTAATTATTTGAATCCTTTTTAGTTATATATGCCAAAAATGATGTACTGATCCAGGATCTGAATAATCTAATCCATCAACTGACAATTTAATCAAGATTCTTTAATGAAAGCAATCTTATAAATTATAAATTTATTTACAAATCACTTGACTTGCAATATTTTTGCTACTCAGTTATTAAAGTCACTCCCTTCAGCAACACTGCCACAATATTTTGAATTCTCTGCTTGTAAGTTTTTACCCTTTCTGGGAAAGTGCTGTGTTGAGAATGGGTTCAGGATAGGGGGAAAAGTATGCCTTTCTTCTAAAAAGTCAGAGAAGGGAAACCATGAAAGTGGAGGTGGTAAAGGAGCATCTTCAAAGGAGTCTTCTTGCTCAGATTCATTATAGGAAATTATACTTGCAAGGAGGACCTGGAAATAAATTTCCTTAAAGCTCTCTATGCTATGTACTCTTTAGCAAATCTTAGCAAACCTGCAGTAGTGTGTCTATCCAAGTTTGAAGGTACTACCATAGTGGAAGGACTTTTAAAGTTAATTAGACCATGGTTTAAATGCTACATTACTTACAGAAAGTATAACCTTTGTCAAGTTAGTTATCTTCTTTCAGCCTTGGTTTCTTTATTGGTAGGAGAGAAAATAATTAATGCCCATCTCTACAATTTTCATGAAGATTAATTTTGATAGCACATATGAAGCACCCAATATAGAATCTGGTATAAAATGGATGCTTCCTCAGTAGAAGCTATCATTTTTATAAATTCATTGAATTTGATAAATGGGTGCTTATCATAAGAACTACTGATCAAGACTAGCAGAAAAGCCTATTTTATGACAATTCACCACTATCAGGACCCATTCCAGCACCAGACATATCTTCCCCTCCTGAACTCCACTGCTCTACAGAAACCTGCTTGCTTCTTGCCTTCCTATAACATTAGGTGCTCCTGGGTGATCCTAGGATTGTCACTCTAATCCTAGAAGTAGGATTGCCATTCTAGTAATTGCCACACTTGTAATTGAGGGAATCAAGGAATTGAATATACCTGTGATTGATTTCAAAACCTGTGCTTTTTTCCTGTAGACTAGAGATAGACTGTGTCTGTACTGACTTGCTGACACACCTTAGGAACCTCTTTTTCCTATGGACTGTGAAATGAACCTATTGACTTGTTAACTGTGACATGCAGAACATGTTATTACCTCACTCTTGTCCAAGGAATCCCCATGGGTAGAAAGTCTAATAAGCCAGCAGGGACCTTTTTAGCAGTCACAGATGCCAAAATGGCTCGAAGTTCTTTGTGACAGTGACAGTTGCCCAAATTACTCTGTGTTATGCCTTTAAATCTGCATGCTACATTCCCACCAGAAATTAATATATACAGTTTCAGGCTGATGATAATAAGAAACTGCAGTTTGTCAATCCATCTCTTTCTCTTTCATTTCTTT